GGCAAACAGCACAGCAGCTCCAAGGGGACTGGGCCCCTCAGCACTAGTAGCAGGTGGCAAGCCAGCTGCCAGCGTCTCCTCCTCCAAGGGCACCGCTGAAGGCAGTGGTGGAGCTACCAGCATGATGAGGTGGCCGGTTAGCCTGGGAGAGCAGACACCGCTGGCTCCAGTGAGACCTCAAGCACTGTATTTAGCACCTGTTTCAGCTGAGCAAGTGGTGCCTGCTCCTGGGGGTTGGTATAAAGCAAGAGGAAACGTCAGATGCATCTGCATACACCCCTGCCTTACCATCTGACCAGTACCACTTACCCTCTGACCAGTACCGCCCATCATCCCCACTCCCCACCACCCAGCAGCCCCCTCATGCCAGCCCCACCAGCCACATCATGCATCAGTGACACTGCTCATTACTAAAGCCTGCTGATCACAATAAAACAGACATTAGTTACTCTGATGGCCCCACCCTGGGCCATTCTGTCTCCATCACCATGGTTCACAATGGTTCTCTTGCCTCCAACTCCCCATTTGCACCATCCTAGACCCCCAGCTGATGACCCCCAGGGCTATTTAACCTAAAACTTTGTTGAAACATTGTTGCCACAAGTTTACAAGAATACAAAGTTAAATGAAACTGGAAAATAGAAAATGAAATTTTCATCATCATAAAATCTGAGGTCTGCCAGAGCCACGGTGGTGAATGCCTGTAATCCCAGTGGCTCGGGAGGCTGAGACAGGAGGATGGCAAGTTCAAAGACAGCCTCAGCAACAACAAGGCTTTAAGCAACTGAGACCCCATCTCTAAAATACAAAATAGGGCTGGGTATGTGGCTCAGTGGTTGAGTGTCCAAATTCAATCCCCAGTAGCCCCCCCAAAAAATTGGGGGTCTGCAGAAAGTTTATATGAAGTGGAAAGCTATTTTCTACCAATTCCAAGATGGTTTAGAAAAATACCTAGGTATTTTAAAAGGCATTACAGGGTTACAACAGATTTCTTATGTTTAAGTTCATTTCAAAAAATATAGGACTTGGGCTGGGGCTTAGCCTTGCACATGCGAGACCTTGTGTTCGATCCTCAGCACCACATAAAGATAAATAAGTGAAATAAAGGTGTTGTGTGCAACTAAGAAATAAATATTTTAAAAAATATATAGGACTTTCTTTTGCTCCAATTTCAACCTATCAATCAAAGTACTTTTCTATTTACCCACTGAAATTAAGGTCATACTTTGCTCCCACAAGACAAAGGCTTTTGAAATAGAAGGGGAGGGGAGGGAGAGTTTAAAAGACTTGGATAATATCAGCCACCATTTATTACCTACATAGTTAAAAATGATGTAAGGCAGCGAGACTCCCTAGGCCACCTCGATGACGCACGCCGAGCGCTGCAACACCTTCTGCGCCACGGAGACGCCAGTGGGGAGACCAAGTGTGTGGCAGGCTCCTGGCCCACTGCTGGCACCACTACCTGGGACAGCCGAGTTGTCACTCAGCATTTCCCTGGGTGCTAGAGGAGGGTGCCAGAGGAGGGTGCCCTGGAGGTGGAGAGGCAGCAACGGGCAGAGTGACTTACAGCTAAGAGGGTACCCTCTGCAGTTTCCACAGCCCTGAAAGCAACTGAAATACCTTCCCTGAAATGTTCAGGATTGAGGGCAAGACACTGAAACCACCGCGTTGTCCTCAGCCTCTTCCTGTCCACCAGATGGCAGGGCAGCTATGCGCAGGGACAGCAGGTCTTCCCACCTCCCCATACCCTTCCAAGATGTCAACTCTGTCTTTATTAGAGCTGGTCTCTATGGAAGTAATTCAAGTTAAATGAGGTCACAAGGGTAAGATCCTGATCCCATGAGACTGGCATCCTTGTAAGAAGGGAGAGAGGGGTACACACACAAAATCGCAGAGGAAAGGCCAGGTACGTGGACACAGGGAGATGGAGGCTGTCAGCAAGCCAAGCAGGAAGACCTTGCCAGAAACCAGCTCTGCTGACACTGATCTTGGCGTTCCAGCCTCCAGAACTATGAGAAAATCAACTTCTATTATTGAAGCAGTCTGGGGTCCTTTGTTAGCAGCCCAAGCTGGCCAACAGTAAAGTATGTAGCTCCACCCTTCCGCTCTCCTCAGATGACACAGCAGGCGGGGACAGGATAGGGGATCCCAAATCAAAACCACCTCCAGGGGCTGGGGTTGTGACTCAGCGGTACAGCGCTCGCCTAGCACATGCAAGGCCCAGGGTTCGATCCTCAGCACCACATATAAATAAAGATATTGTGTCCAAGTAAAAAATAAAAATTAAAAAAAAAAAACACCTCCCTCCACTCCAAATTTCCAAGAATCAGGAGCCCTCACCTGGGCTGACAAGCACACATCATGGACAACAGTGCCACTGTCTGGTGACTTCCTGAATGTCCAGCTGCCACAGAAAACAGAACTCCACCCGGCCAACCTCTCAGTGGTCATCACAGGCCACACTAGAACCAAGCATCTGGGGTCACAAGTGGATATGCCAACATTTTCTTCAGACAGTTAACTCGTAAATTCTGGAAATGTCTCTACCTACCCAAGATTATAATAAAATAGGTTTAGTTTCTAGAAAATGATATGAATAAAAACAAGAGAATTTACATCCCTGCCGAGGGCCTCGCTGGAGTGTTCAGAGGAACAGCCTGAGTGAAGACGCACAAGCTGGGCTAGTGGCACCTCACTCAGGTGCAGCTGAGGTGGCCCCGGGACCCACCTTAGCCCCAAAAGCAGCCAACGGGGAACCCTGCTTCCCTGAGAGCGGGACTTCCCAGGAGCCACAGACCCTTTAGACAATGCGTATATAGCCAGGTGCAGTGGCACACACCTGTATCCCATCAGGACAGGTAGTGGTGCCAGCGGCAGGCATGGCACTAAGCTAAGCAGGCCCTGGATCCCCCGTATCCTTGTCCACCTTTTTACGACTTCTGGGAAACGTGCAAGTCTGGCACCAGGCATCGCCCACACCCTCCTGGCGCTCCCTTGGCTGCCTGTCCCCGTTTTCTGGCATAAAAAAAAGTGCATCACAGGGCTGGGGATATGGCTCAGTTGGCCAAGTGTTTGCCTTGCATGCCCAAGGCCCTGGGTTCAATCCCCAGCACACACGCACACACACACACACACACACACACACACACACACAAAAAGTATCTCACGACTGCTGGGTTTTCACCAACGTTCTTGATCTGTCTTCCCTTCTTGCTTTCGTACAGGCCTCAGAGACAACTCCAGGAATATCACCAACAGCAGGACCTTTCCAAAAACTCCCGCACCCAAGCTTCACCATGTCCCTCAATCAAGTTCAGGCACCATCGCCGGCACCAAGGCTGTGGCTTTCCAGCCGCTCTTGACCGGCTGCCTGGTGGCAGGACCTGGATGTCTGCCTCAACTCCCGTCTCTTCTAGTGGGTCCCTTTCCCCAAGCAGCAGCTCCAACAGGCTGGCCCCCAGACAGGGTCCATATGGGCTTTCTTGCTCTGTTCATCCACCGCTGGTCTCTGGAAGCTGCAGACCTTCCTGGCTGTATGAAGTCCGAGACGTGTGCCCCTCGTGGAGGTGCCACAGACCCAAGCAGAAAAAGAAGCCGGAGCCTCCACCTCCATCAACAGTGGGAGAGGGCCTCCATTAGAACCCAGGCCAGCTGAATTCAAACCTGAGGATGAGCCACACATTCCCACAGCAACCTCAGAGCACCTACCCACTTCCCGTTTCTTGAAACTGAACACTGGATGCCTCTGAAACTCCATCCTCCTTCCCTAGAGGGGGACTCATGGGGGAGAGCAGGTTTCCTCCTTTGCAGCCAGGGGAGCCCAAGGGAATACCGTTGGCCCAAGACATGAATGTGATTCTGTGCGCATCTTCTGGGGTGGGTTCCCACAGCTGGGGGCTTCTGCTGTCATGTACCATGGGGCCTATTCCATGGTCTAGGGTAGCCCGTGGGCTTCCTTGCAGAGAATAAACAATCTTTAAAAACTCACAAAACAAAAAACTACAAAGGAACTGCTTAAGTTGAAAGAGAATGACCCACATGTACAACATTCAAGTGACAGTCATATGCATGTTCCCACATTATCACATTGAGGAACTACCGCATTTCAAAGTGAAAATGTCACCAAGATGTCGTCATGCCTTAGCTGTTAAAAGGTGCCTATGACTTCGATCGGCGACCAAGGCACTCACTCTGCCACTGCAGCTACAGTTCCTAAGGCCTGCTGCTACTTTCATAATTGAAGGAAATACAATTTCAGTCGGATGCCGATTAACCAAAAAAAGCTATAATTTGTACTGGATCCAAGTTTGTTTCCACATATAGAATTTAGGGTCCAAAGAAAGCCTCTCCTTTCCCCATCCTCCTTCCTACTTCCTGGGATGAGAATGAGATGGCTGGAACTAAAACAGCTCCTTTTGCCCTATAAGGCAAGATAGGAGGAGCCCTGGTTTCTAATGACCATAGAGCCGTGCACCAGTCCCAGCCTGGCTGCCTCAGATTGGCATCTCTAACTTGTCAGCCATGTTGATTTATGTGTGTTATATAAAGCCAGTCAAACCCACTCTTGCTCTCTAATGCTTTCTCTGCTTAAGATAGTAAAGATGGAGATAGTTTAAGTCTGATCATTAAGAACATTTCTCCCTGTTTGGAGAGGCTGCATCTTCTTCACTGATAAACCTGACTCCTCTGGAGCACAAAAAGGAGCTTAGACTTCTCCTCTGCTGCTGACCACCTGACAGGAAGCAAACCCTGAAACTGAGCCACAGAAGTTTCCCATCCACCTCAGTGCCACTCCACCCAAGGCATGTCCCAAGAGGATGCACACACCCCAGCCTCACAGGTTACCCAGAGGTCCAAAGCCTGCAACCATGCACCACACCTCAAGTTCACAGCCGGCCACATCCTCAGTCATGTAGGAGTAAGCGCAAAGACTCTTCAGTGATGCACAGACCCACAGCCAGCCCAGTACGGGTGGTGGCAGCGGGAGGAGTACTTACTAATCGTCATGGATTCTGGCACCGACGCAGAAGGCAAGAGGCTGCTCAGAGGACTTCCTTGGGCTGGAGGGCTGGCGTCCACACTGGGGAAAAGGAGGGAGAAGGAAGTTACACTCAGCCACTTAAAATGCCCAACCTCCCTGCTCAAAACACAAGCAGGTGGTCGCTTATTGGGGTTCTCTAGCGGGAGGAACAGAAGGCAGCCATCAGAAATCAGTCAATCCTGTTATTTGCAGACTCCATATCTGTCAACTAATCTACTCATGAAGTGTATTTGTAGCCCCCAAAATCAATGCTCACAGAATACTTTCACAAGTTGCTCATGAGCAAAACAATGGAGTCCCCAGCTGAGGACAAGCAAGGTGCCTTCTCATTTCAACTCTCGCAACTGTAGACAAGTGTCCTTTCCATAGTCTCCTTAGTCCTAGATTTTCCACATCTAAGTAGGGCTTCCAGACGATTTTCTGTTTATAGGGGTCCCCAGGTACATGGCTGCCTCATGAGTCTACAGCAAGAGGCTGCCACGTGCCTCAGGGGGCAACGTGCGAGAGAGCTCCATCCAGGCAGAAGCCATCTGCCACTGACCACGAGCTCAGTGCGACAGTCAACACCAGACACTCAACAAGCCGTCTTTAAACAGGCAGAGGCAAAGCCAGACATATTGACCAACCAAGAAAAATGTTGTGACAAAGTCTCAGATAACCAACCCAGCACCTCCCCGCCAAGCAACAGCGGAACCTTCACAGAAACTCCATAGAACAGAATCCCTGCAAATAATGAGGGCCAGCTCTTTGTAATGTGAAAAAATAATACAACCAGCTTTTGTGAAAATAGCAGGGCCACATGTAGTGATTATAGACACACCTGCGCACACATGCTCACACGTGCTCACACACACAGAGGGAAAGCACCAAAGCATCGACCACGCCATGGAGTTGGGTTAAAGAGTCATTTTTCATTCATTGGAGCATTCTGCAAATTTTCTAAAAATAAACAGGATAAAGAACTGAGCCCTGGAAGGGTCTGTGAAGCTGTCCTTTGACCTGGCACCCCATGTACTAGCCTGCTCCAGGTAGTGTCACTTTTGGAATCCTGCCTATTCTGGGTTTGACAGAGGCACCAGGTCTGGTTTGGGGGCAGCAGACAAGAAGCCCACCCTGAAGACAGCGTTGGAAATGCAGGTGGATACGTCCCTGAGACACCAAACTAAAATCACAGGAAAAAAAAAAAAGTAGTGAAAGTGAAAGGTTAATAAAATAGGTACTTGTCATTCCGTTTCTCTATATGCTTAACAAAACACTGTTGAAATCTTAAGAACTGTTTGCTAATCTTGTTCCCAGAATGAGCTGTCCCCAACTGCCAAACTACAAAATGTAACTTCTCTCCCTGCCCTCTCCAGGGAAAGTATATAAGCTATGCTCAAGCTGTTCTCAGGGCTCTATCTCTCTTTGCTATAGAGGGCTCGGGCCCCAGCATGCTGGTCTCCAAATAAACCCACCCTTCTGCTGTTGCATAAGACAGTCTCTTGTGGTCTCTTACTTTTGTAAGGGTCCGGCGAAACGTTGGAGTAAGAGCAGCAAGGACAGTGGGCGCATTGGGAAACCTTGCCGTCTACCTCTACTGTCACCAAACAGCCAATAACCTGGCAACTCAGGTCCCCCTTGAGATTCTTCAATTTGAGAGGAAAGAAAAAAAGGAAACCCTTTTGCACTGTAGGTGGTGTACTTAAATATTACATGGCATCCAAGGGACTTAAACGTAACACTAGACTGTTAAATATTACCAAGTATTAGTATTTAGATTAAGAAAATGACAGGAAGTACTCAGATATAGTTCAAAAAGTATAAGAAGGACAGGAGGTATGCAAATAAAGTTTGACCACTGTGCAGTCTCCTGCAGTGACTCTGTGGGGACAGATGATCTAAGCCTCTTGGCAAGGGCACACTGTGAGATGTAAGACTACCCCTGAGCAGAAGTGTGAAGTAAGGCCTTGCATATAACTCTAGCAGGTTCCTCCTAGCTTTAAAAAAAGAATAAAATGCCAGCCAGGCACAGTGGCACATGCCTGTGATCCCAGCAATTAGGGAGGCTGAGGCAGGTTGATCCCAAGTTCGAGGCCAGCCTCAGCAACTTGACAAGCCCCCATCTCAAATATAATAAGAACAGGGATATAGCCCAGAGGTAGAGCACCCCTGGATTCAGCTCCTGGTACTATAAAAAAGAATAAAATGCCAAATTGTGAATAATACATTAATACACAAGGCAACCTGGTTTCTTAATATTAACCTGTACCGAAGCCCAGGCTCTGGGAGAATGTGGTCCTCAGGTCCTGTTCCGTTCTCCAGGCTTCCCAGGGGGGGATCTGGATAAAGACATCACAGAGAGGAGATAAGGTGTTTATTCCAATTCCCTCTTCTTGTCATTCCTTCATCTGCTACGTAAGCTGACTTACAAGTTCTTACTCACCCGCACACTGGATCTTAATCTGCTACCCACTCCATTTTCCCAGGCATTTTTATGACTTGGCATCAGCTGCTGATGGAAGACCCTATCTCCCACTTAACCTATGATTTTTGATCTTACAGCAAGTGGAATTGTGCATGAAGTCCATATTCAGGGCCAACCCCAGAATCGGAGTTATTTTTTTAAAAAAGCTTTCTGTAGGACAAACCTTCTTCTGCCTGTCAGGACTTGAGACAGACAGCAGAGGGCAGCAAAGTCTAATCATCTAGCTTTCTCCAAAAGCCACTTAACCCTGTGTACGTTGCATTCAGGAGCACATTCCCAAAGAAGTGAGGTGATAAACATCTCATGTTACCGATTTTCATAAATGCATGAGTCCCCGCACAAGCCTCTTTGCAGGAAAGGGTAAAAACCCATGAGCCCCAGGCTGGATGGTGACATTAAGATCCATATCACCCAAGGGAACCCTTGCTCATTAGAGCAACTCCTCATTGTCAACACCCATCATGAAACTAGCCCTGCACCCGAGAGGGACAAAAAGAGCAACACAGCCTCCTCTGCACCATCACGTCTGCTTAGCCTGGGCTGCTGGAGTCGGACTTCCCATGACTTACAGGTAAACTCACCTTGCCCCATTTTAAGTCACAGGCATGCCCAGCCCTCCACCTGCTCAAGGTCCCATGATGAGACCCTGGGCTGGTCTCCCCTCTCTGAATTGCCCCTAACCCAGGACAGGTAGTCCCCTCCACCGCAGAGCTGCCTCCTGCAAGATTCACAAGGGTACTCAAAGCATGTCCCCTCCTCCCTCCCAAGACTTAGCTACTAAAAACACCCCCTCCCGGCCAGGCCCAGCTTCCTTCTTGCCCCCCCCACTCCCCTTTTCTCTAATTACTCCCAATACAGTGACTACAAAGGAGGCAACATTTTCAAAGAGGACTGAGAAATCCCTTGAGGCAAGAAGCTGTCCACTGGGAAGTCATAGTAAAGGGCAGAATGGCCCCTGGCCAGAATGAGGAAGAATGTATTAATGTCACCATCAACCTGAGGGACACTAGTCAGACATTGGGCAAAAGTAGAGTCTCAGAAAAATGTTAGCAGAGCCTACCCAAAGAGCCTACCCTGGCAGGCCGAGCCCGAGACCACCTGGCCCAGGTGCCTCCCATAGACACAGAAACCACGCAGAGGGACTGATGCAACTTGGCAGCAGTAACCAGTCCCCAGCCCTGATCCAGCACCTTCAGTCACCATGGGTCTTCCCTGCAATGCTCCCCACAGGCTGTCACAGCCTACAAGGTTAAACACTGGTACACTGGCTCCTACACATCACCTCTGATAAGCACCATCAAGATAAGATGGAACTTGGGGTCCCCTTAAGAGTGACAAGATGGACCCTCTGGGTCTGCCAAGAGACTACAGGAGATGTGCTGGGGGACAGTGGGGACCTTCTCTTGAGGATCCTGGAGGCCCTTATCCATGGAAAGCCTAGAATGCTGGGCTCTGGAAGATCCGATCCCAACGTGAATAGCAAATCGCAAGGCCCCAAAGCACCAGCCATCAGCTCCCCTGTCTCACAGGCTGGAGGGGCAGAGCCTGCTGCCCTGGGTGCCCACAGCCAGCATTTAACAGCCTGTAACAAGGACTGAGCGGGGATCAGAGGCTGAGGAGCTCCATGTCGGAGGCTGTGAGTAAACATCAGAACTCTCCCGTGGCCCTGGATACCCCTGGGCCCCCTCGAGCTTCCAAGCCCCCACCCGTCTCACACAGTCCAGCAATGACAAGGCAACCCCCTCGGGCCACCTGGACAGAGGAGCTGAAGAGGCAAGGCTTCTGGGGTCTGGCCTGCGGACACGAGCCAGGCCCACCACACCGGCCCTCTCTGGGACTTCAGCTGAGACCCGGCGAGATGTCCCCACTAGTATCAAAGATCACAAGGCTGAGCAACGTTGTTGGCACCTCAGCCAAGTTCAAGTAGAAAGGGGAGGAGTAAGAATGAAGAGGGCAATGACAGACCGGGGTGGGGGCAGCACGGGAAGCAGGATGACCACAACGGTTGGGCCTCTCCCCATCCAGAGGCCCCTCCATCAGCCCTGCTCCCAGCTGTGGACCCGCTCAGCTGCCCGGTCTTAGCACTGCCTCCTCAGCCAGTCTTTCCCCAGGTGAACCTGGGAGTCTTTGCCACACGTCTGAGGGAGGAGATGGTGCAGTGAAGCCCCCAGCTGAGCAGGACGACCCCTCCCCAGCACTGGACTCACTGCTGGAGCCTGGTGGGCACTGTTATCACTACCGGCATCCACTTTCCAGGCAGGTCACCCAGACTGACAGACGGGAAGTCCACTCTGCTGCCTGCGGAGCCCATCTGTCTAGCCTTCAGCTAGTGTAAATGGATTTCTGTTCTTCACCAAGTGACAAGAATAATCCTTCACCCAATTCAAATTTCAACAGCTTCCTAAGCAGTTGGAAGACTCCAGTCACAGCTCCCTAACCCTAGGCCCAGAGAAGCTTGTGTTCCCTAGAAAATGGCGGAGTACCTATCCGTTGGGCTAAGGCCTCTCTGAGCTCGCAGTGCTGGGGGAGGAGAGTGACAACAACCAGGCACTTCTCTCTACAGGTTCTGTGCACTGCATGGCGCACCTGTCCTGCTGGGAGAGCCAGGTTCACCCACACATAAACCCCAGGTCTCATGACCTGTTCAGCTACAGGAAACAATAAGACTACATATGAGCCCGCCCACCACATGGAATGTGCAAGGACACTGGCCCATAGTCAAAGGCCAGTTCAAGCAACCCTCCCCAGAGCCCCAAGAGCTTTCTGTCCAGGGCACCAGTGACATGACAGATAGCCCCCCCCTCCACCATCGAACTGCCTCTTGCCAGATTCAGAAGGAAACCAAGGTCCTAAAAGGCAAAATGGCAATCACTCTTTATGTTTACTTTGACATGACCAAGTTCAATAAGCCACTGGTATAGGGGAAAAAAGTAAAACAGACCTGGGGGAACTTGGGGGATTGCCAGCCAGGTCAGCCCAACTCAGATGCTCAAATTCCTAGAACACCAAGGCCCTGTAGCTTCTGAGTCCCCCACAAGCCCCTCCTTGCTCTGGGCCCCAGGTTCCCTCCCATTCCTACCTGTGCAGGTAACTCAGATTCTCAAGCTGGTTCTGAACTGATTCTCTCATTGGGGAAAAAAAAAAAAAAAGAGGAAGCACCTACCTGCAGGGCTGTAGGAGCCCACTCCGCTGACTGGGAAGAGGACATCAGCATCGCCGTGGAGCACCTGCAGCGGAGCCCAGCTGTGCACCTGGGAGAGGCAGGTGTTCCCATCCAGGGGCCTAAGGTGAAAGAAGACAGCTGCATGACAAGGCCCAGACCCCCAAAGGGCCTGTGACCACCAGGCACATCTGCTGAGCCTCCTCAAGGGTTCTCGGGAAACACCCAGGCCAGGATGGGGCTGATGGGCAGGAGTCTGGAGCATCGAGTGGGGATGCGACCCCGACAGGTGCAAGGACATGAGTTACATATCCTTTGGGAAGTTAGTTCAGAATCATGTCGCTGATCAGGAAGATCACAGAAGACTAGCCTGAAGGGGGAGCTGTGAGGAGCAAGTTGAAGGAAGCCAGGACCTGAGGGAAGCAGAGGGACGGGACACATGGAAGAGGAGGGACCAGCCACATAAAGTGCTGAGCAAGAGAAAATGCCACCATCTGGGTTCTCAAACAACGGTGGTTACACAACTCTGGGCTAATGTCGCTTTGCCTCGCTGGTTCTCAGACCCCATGGGTCAAAGGACAATCAGACCCACTTGTGACTGGGTTTTCAATAAAAGGAGGTCAGCTAAAGTATTAACCAGGCTCATATGATGTTATTCTGTTATCTGCCAAGTTCAAAACCAACACACACAGCCTTCGTAACACCAGGATGACTCCAAGCTGCCTGAGTATTCGCCCACTGCAGCTTCGCCTCTGGACAATCAGGAACATTAGTAAATACCAGGATGTGTTTACGCAGTTCCTAGATGTTTATAAAATTCTTTTGTATCTCAGTAAATAAAGAAGACCAAAGCTGATAACCATACCTACTTAGTAAAAGAAGGGACGGGTGTGGGAGAGAAAAGAAAAACAAAACTCCAACTATTTGACTTATCCAAGGTCAACAGCCACATACGACAGAACCAAGGCTTTGGGTTTTCCAAATCCAATTACAATGGCGCTCCAGACTCTGTCCACCATGTGACATTACAGAGTTTTTATTTTAGAGAAGAAATTGACTAAGTTTAGGGCCAGCTAGTGAATATTTCAGGTTCCGTGGCCTACTTGTCCATGTTGGTATTTCTTCATAACTGTCCCTAGCTCGGGCAGGCAGGCTGGCCGGCTCCTCCTACAGGCTGGTCAGCACCGTCTCCTTCCGGCTGCTCTAGCTTCTGGTCAGGTCAGACATTCAGACACTGAGGAACTATTTCTAACAATTTCGCAAAACTTGTCACTGAATCCCATGGGTAAGGCGATGACACTCAGGCAGGGGAAGGCAAAGGAAGGGCTGCTCCTGCCCGTGTCCTGGCAGCTGACCCCGACTCTGACCAAGACTCAGGTGAACTTGGTTGTGCCTCTACCACGCTTCTGAGGCTCTGGTCTATAAGCTGGTGGCCCAGGGGATGGACAGCTGCCGCAGTGCCAGTGCACCCTTCTCAGCAGAGGGCAGCAAAGGCCATAGTCCGTTATCAAGCAATCCACCAGCTCTGTACCAGGGGTGTTCTGCTCGTTTCCAACACAGTTCTTACCACTTCCAGCAACATGAGTGTGCATGAGGTAAAGCCAGGACCCTCCAGACAAGAATCTGAACCCAAGGAAAAGCAGCACCAAGGGCCACCACTTCAATATGAGCAAAATGAGTTGAAGTGATTCCCAAGTCAGGGAAAGCCTCAGGATGTGGCTTCAAGATTGGCTCAACAGTGGGTGTTCTTTTCCTTGGAAAAGATACTTTCAGAAGTACCCAAAATACAACTGGGCTGGACACCATCTCCATGCAACTTACATTCACATGGCTGTAACAAAACCACATGGAGAATTTTCTGTCTTATGTTTCCATCTGATAGCAAGAAGATGAGCTCATCTTCTTACTACCAGATAGTCAAACTCACTCAAAAAGTTCAAGATCCCAGACATGACGATATTAACACCCAACTCCTGCATGCCCGGCTGGTAACCGCCTCAGTGGCTGCATTTAGGTCAGCTCTGGTGTTTTGCTTCCGAGTCGGGACTTTGAATCCACTTGGTACATCCCCAGGCAGATTCCATCACAGGACTGCCAAATCAAGTGGGACTAACACAGCTCCTGACACGGTCCAACCGTCTCCTCAGGAGTGTTGCTGGCCCCTGGTACCAGCTGTGCCATCATCACTGCTCCAATGTGGACCGAACATCCCCTTTGCACCTGGGAAGAGGTACACTGAGAAATTGCCTCCCCCCCATATAGGCCACAATACTGGGGCTCCCTTTCAAATCTTGGCAAATGTGATGGGCAAGACATAGGACCCTCGTTTCCCTTTACATTTACTTCATTGCTGATAAGGTGCAATATTTATTCATGTTTAATTCCTTTGGAATCATGTTCTTACCTATTTAATGATGTCAGAGCACATAAGGTGACAGAAAAACTCCTTTGTATGATAAGGATATTATCCCTTTTGATGAAAAACACAAAGCCAATACCTGTGGCCAGTACTGAGGCAGGGGGAGAACACTGGTCACCAAGCAGTGGCTTATGACCAGCTGTCACAGGAGGTGACCCAGCTCTGGACAACAGACCTCCTCAAGACAACCAAGGGTGGTGGCACCCACCGAGCTGCTCCTGGCCTGCCACAGCCCCTCACACACCTGCTGTGTTCCAGCCTCATGGGCCCTTCCTATGAGCCCTAGCTTAAAATCAAAATCAAAGTATTACTTGGCAGGCCATCTCATCATTCCTCGGCTCTTCCCCAGGCTGCTCTATGGAGTGTTCAATCGAGATCCCCCTGTGTACCAGGGAGAAGCTGTCCGCAGTCTGCGGGAGGCCCACTGGCTTTGGAGGACCCAGGCCCCCTTGGAGGTCACCAGCACAGCTTTGTGCTTTACACATCACAATGCCAGCAGCCACCTTGGCCTGGAGCTGGCCTCCCCTTCCAGCCTCCACTCAATGGCACCTGCAGGATAGGAAAAGGAATGGCTGATTGCAGCCAAAAGAGCACAGAGTGGATCAATCTTGCACCCACCTACAGAGCCACAGAATCCAGTGGCACTTCCTAAATGGCCCAGGAGAACTCAACGCAGCTGTGAGAGTTCTTGTATGTGTCCACTTGACCAGGCCACATCACCCAGATACTTAATCAAACAGTATTCCAGATGTCTCCATGAGGGTATTTTTCAAGTGAGAGTCATATTTAAGACAAAAGACTAAGCAGATTGTCCTGCCTAACTGGGGAGCCTCACCTAACCAGTGGGACTGACTCCCCAGAAGGAGGAGGAGAGCTGCTAACAGACTGCCTTCAAGGTTGAATGGCAATTCTTCACTGAGTGGTCAGCCACCTATCAACTTCACACTGGCCAGCCTCTGTAATATAGGTGAATTTCTTAAAATAAATCAAGAAAGGGAGCAAGAGCAATACAGAGTCAGATACATAGAAACAGAGCGAGATCAAAAGGAAGAAACACCACCCTACTGGTTGTGCTTCTCTGGAGAAGCCTGAATAATACATTGGGTATTATTACAAGACAGCTTCCAGGCACAAAAACCATCCATAGCCTAGGAGCAAGAGCAGTGCTTCCAAACAGCTACCCTAACAAATAATTTCAGAGCAGAAATGAAAATCTCCACTTCAAAATGGCCAACCAAAAAAAAAAAAAAAAATCAATGCCACCAACCCAATTACACAACAGTAAAGGGAACTCTTTAGCAGGGCAGGGCAGGGATCTGAAGGACCACAGTCAAGTTGATCGGGGTTCTGCAGAGAAGGAACCAAATGGGGGAAATGGAGGGAATAGGCAAAGAGGGAGACTTCTACTGAGGAGCTGGTTCACTGATTACGAAGGTCCAGAGCCCCACAGTCTACAAATGGAGACCTAGAAATGCTAGTGATGTCATTCAGTTCAGGTCTGAAGCCCGAGATTACGGAGGCCAACGTCCCAGCTTAAGCTGGCGGGCAGAGAGGACAGTTCCTCCTCTCCCTCAGTTTGTTCTAGTCGGGTCCCCAAAGGATTGCAAGATGCCCACCCACTCCGGGGAGTTCCATCTGCTTTACTGAGCTGACCCATTCAAATGCTACTCATCTCATCTGGAAATGTCATCACAGAAATGTTGTTTGAGTATTCCACAGCCCAGTCAGGTAGGCCATCATAGTCAACCACCACACTGGCCAATCGAGTCTCATGATTATATAAAAGCATGGAGAATATTTGATAGTATAACTTTAGGGTTCAACATATCCAAACCCAAATCCCATCTGACAAATCTCCACTCCATGGAATCCTGCTCTTTCACCTATAGAGCAGGTATGATGGCCACCGATCTCACAGGGTTGCTTTATCACTAAGGTACGTCATCCAGCACTTCACGGATGATCAACAAGCTAATACCACTAACAGTAGCATCTGTGTAAATGAGGATTGAAGCAAAAATAAAGTTTAGTCTCATGAAAAAGAACCTAATATTAAAACATGAAACCAGGTGCAGTAGCACAAACCTGTAATCCAAGCTCCTCAGAAGGCCGAGGCTATAGGACTGCAAGTTCAATGCCATCCTGCCCAATGTAAGAAAACCTCATCTCAAAATAAAATTAAAAGGACTTGGCATGTAGTCCAGTGTTACAGCACTTGCCTAGCATCTGCAAAGGCCTGGACTTGAGCCCCAGAACCACAAGGGGGAAAAAAAAAAAAAAAAAAACAGTAAGGCTCTAGCCCTGAGCTGCTGTCATACTGTGCACCCTAAAACCAGGATACCTCAGTTATACAGAAAGACACAGTTATGCGTATTTAATTGCCTAGATTATGAAGCCTTCTGTGATTCCTTTGGCACTGTTCTGGGTGAAGAGGAGACAGTGTAAGAACTATCAGAGTAGAACAGTGGCAGCAGCTGACCTGTGCTATGTCATTGGCTGTGCCAGCACCAGCAACAACGGCCCACATGCAGTACATCGCTGACTGCACAACGCCCTGCCACCAACAGGTACTGCCATCCTCCAGGCCTCAGATGAGGCCAGAGGCTCTGGGGTGTGTGGAAATTCAAACTCGCCCAAGTACAAGATCCCAGGTCGTTCTGAATCCAAGATGCACACTCATCAACTATGCTTTCTACTTTAGGCCTTCACCCCTTCCCCTCCCACGACCCTCTCCAGAGTTGAGACTTCCAGCAGCCACACAGGCAAGCTGCTGCTGTTCACACCCCTGCAGACTAACAGGAACACAGCTGCTCTCTAGACTAGCCTGCCTCCTCCAGGGCTTCTATGATTGACAAGTGAGAGATGAAAAAAACCCAGTTCGTGAAAACCAAAGTCCTCTGTGCAAACCAAGAACTTCAGGGCACACTTCCTGGCATTAATTTTGTATTAAGTGCCTTCAAATATACTCCCTTCCCCTCTTAGTTCTCAGGAGAATGGCAAGCTGACATCACCACCTCCTAAATAAAGACTGAAAAATGACTAATGCCCTAACAGATAGAAAGTGGACCAATTTCCTCCACGGCGGGAGAAGGAGAAATGGGCAATACACATCCCTTTGCCGGAAGCTCAAGTGGCACTTACTTCTCTGGTGATCCCAGGTGGCCCGCACGCTTCCTTCCTGATGGGTCCACATACGCGTCGTCCTCGTTGTCATCCACGCCTTCGTCGTCGATGCTCTTCACATCGAGCTTCTGGTACCCAAGCTCCCCATTTAGAGAAAGGGAGTCCACTTTCCAGGAGCTGCTGCTCTGGCTGCCGTTGGAATTCGGCCCAAAGGGGCTTTCAAAGGCCGACATGATGTTGACCGAGGACCGGTCGGAGTTCTCCTCCGAGCTCTCCCCTGTCCCAGGAAGCTTTTTAAAAACATCCCCAGAGGTCTGCTCATCCTCCTCCTCATCAAATGAGATGATGTTGGTCACCTTCTTTTTCTTCTTCCGTTCCTTTTTACATCTGGCATCTGGCAAAGAAAGATACAGCAAGAAAAAGTGGGCAAGACAGAAGGGGGACAGGCCAGCTCGCCCCCAGGGCCCCAAAAGATTCCCTTAGGCTACTGAGAAGTCTAACTGCACCATATTCATTTATTTAAATCCTTGAGAAATACCCATCTATAGAAGACTGAGCAAGATGGACCCAGGCCTGTACGTCAACATGCTTCAGATCATAGGTGGACACTGTCCCTTCTAGTGTCACTTGGATTCCAAGGATGCTGCCACTACGGAAATGATTTCCATCGTTTCACTGTGGGAAATACGCCCAAGAGTGGTAGGCCCGACCAGAAAAACCAGCATGGGGGTCACAGCCTGTTGTTTCACAGCTACAACCCCCACCCCCCATGATGCCGCTGGCCCTGCGCCATCTACAGATCCTTGAATCTGAGCGGGCACAGTGCTCTGATGGTACCACTGGAATGTGACAGAAATAACATCCCATTCTAGGGCCCAGGTGACAAGAGGTCTCATTGCTTCTGTCCCCCCCCCCCCAGACTGCTGCCCCGATGGCACCCAGAGCAGCCAGCAGTCAGGCACACAGGTGGGCCACCAAACTCAGCCACCAGTGACATGCCATGAGCAAGTCGAGGGAAGCCAGCCGAAGCCCTGCCATGCCCATCCAGAGTCGTCAAAAAACGAGTCATGGTGGATTTAAGCCACCACCTTTTGTCATTTGTTACACAGCAGGGCTAACTGGAGCAGCGAACAAGACTGCCTGAGGGGTCAGAGTTAAGATGAGTCCATTTGTTCACCCGCCAATCATCCAACTTGGATGTGAGACACTTTGGAGTTGTAGGCAGTGGCTCGAAGTGTGGCCTGGTGATGCTTCACCAGCCTAGCACAGCTCTGAGGATTTCCAAAGCTCCTCCTGGTGTACAAATGTGTGTCTTTGTTACACAAAGCCCCCAACGTCCCGTTTTCTACATCTGCACATGAGGCGTCATGGTATTCTGAGTTTTCACCATCATTGATAATTTTCAAAGATGGCCACATTTACTGCCTTAGGGATTTGGAGACACAGGGACTAGAACTTAAGCCAAAATTTTCTAGTTCTCCCGTAGCAATATCCATTGCTTCCGGGATAATTTTTTTTTGGGGGGGGGGGTAGTACCAGAGAATGAGCCCAGAGGCATTTTACCACTGAGCCACATCCCCAGCCCTTTTTATTTTTTTATTGAGACAGGGTCTTGCTAAGTTATCCAGGGCCTCACCAAGTTGCTGATGCTGGTTTCGAACTCGTGACCCTCCTGCCTCAGCCTCCCAATTCACAGGGATTACAGGTGTACACCACCGTGCCCAGCTATTATTAACTTATTGAAAACCAACTTCCTTTTGCCTGCTCCCACCTGGTGTTAAAGCTGACCAAATCCTCTCTTCCCCCAGGCTTCTGCTTAAACGTCCTCACAACATAGGCGAGACAAGTGGTATTCATTCTCCAGAGCATCTGTGATTGGCCTTCATCACATGTACCAAAGGGATATTTGGAGAATTTGTCTTTAAACACTATCCTCGTGCATCCCAAAGGGACTGCAAGCTCATCATGGGCAAGCCATCTTAAGCTCGCTGCCTAACACACAGAACACAGTGAGTGCTTGAGTGGACGACTGAAGACCAAGCCCATGTGGCTCCTGTGGCTGCCCCACCACGTTTGCTCTTCTCCCCTGTCTTCTCTAGGTGAGCCTGTCAGATCCCCTTCAGAGTGAATGAAGGTAAGAAAAATAAACATGACCTGAGAGTACAAGCGCCCTAGATTTCATTCCCCTGGGAATGGCCTTCAGGTGACAAGAGGTGTCCACAGCAGACATTCTCTTGTCCTTACAAGGACCCCTGTGCACCACCTCGAATGCCCATTCTTGCTCACCAGCACTGACGTTCTTGGACACAACAGGCAGCGGGTCAGTCTCCTGCTCGGGCTTAATGAGGATGGAGACAGCAGAGGAGGCTGTGATCTCCCTGAGGAGGCTGCTCACTCCCTGAGTGGATTCCTTCAGCAAGGAGGTCACGTTCTGCGTTGATTCCTTTAAGAGGTCGGAGACAGTGGGAGCAAATTTGCTCTGCCCATTTAAGTCCTTGTTGTCGATGTTAATTGCGAAGAGTATGGAGTTCAGCCCTGGCCAAAAGAAGGAAAGCCTGGAGCGCCTGGGAGCATGCAGTCACCTCCAACATGAGAAACAGGAGCGACAACGCAGTACACACAGGATTCTTATACACCGATTTCAAACATTTATAAAACTTTCTGCAAAGCTGGGTCAACAGACACCAGTTACCAGGGCAGTAAGACTTTCCAGATTTCCTCCCCAAAGGTTGAGAAGACAAATGCAAATAAGAGTCACCCAGGAGTAGGTGAGAGCATAAGGGTGGAGCAGACTGCCAGCACAGCCACTTACTAGCTCTGAGACCTTGGCCAAGCACCTTTTACTCCCCTGGGCTTCAGTTTCCTTACTTGTATGATGGGGACAATATCATCTCCCTCACATGGTCATAAATATTAAAGATGATCACATCAAAACAACCTCAGCTCAATAAGCAATCAAGATGTGCAGCAAGAGCGTCACTGTGATTACCCTAGATCAAAATGTGCACTGGTCTCCTAAGGCCTGCAAAAGGGTTCAAACCCAACTCTTCCTCAGACAAAACTAACACAGCCCTTAATCTGCAGAGCTTAGTGGAAACCTTTAGGGGAATAAAAGGGAAGAAAATTGGGCAATTGGAAAAAAGACACAGCTGCCCACTTTTGTCTGGCCGATTCCATCTTTAACCCTTTGAGTGAGAGGAAAAGTGAACACCTTGGCAATCCATCAGGTGACATCAACCCAGGACCTCCCTAATGACAAGCCATATACATGACCCTGTATCTCCTGCGATTCTCTCAGATTTACAATGGCAACTGGGAACTGTCAGCATTCCCACCTCATGGAGAAGTAAAAGGGACAAAGCTGATAGGATCCAGCCAGCAGAAGAACAGTTTGATGCAAAGGTAGGTCCCCCTCCAATTCTCAGGCTCCTTACATCACACCAGCCAAGCCATGAGCAACTCTTCAGCCCAGGCTTTCTCTTCCAGGTATCAAATTTCCAGATAATTGTGCCCAATGCTCAATGCCATTAAAGGAAGATCAGCAGCAAGTGACTCCATCAGTGAGGGACAGGAAAATTCACAGCATCCCCTGGGGTTGTGAATCCACTCCCAGGAAGCCCTCTCTACTCGCCGAGGTCCCCAGGACCCATCACCCCCTGCCATGGTCAGGCTTACCAGCTGCCATGGTGGGAAGCATGCTAGACCTTTCTTCATCCATCACAAAAGACCAGTCTTCATAAAAAGTGCTGTAAAGTGAAATGAGAAAAGGAAAAACTTCTTAAGAGTAGTACTCTGCAGCCACTGGCTAGATCACTCCATTAGATGACATTCTGGACAATCTGTTCCTGGTCGGTCATCACAGGGAAGGGAGGGTATCTGAGATCGCTGCTGGGTGAAGCTTCCTACTATAAGCAAAGATCTGAATGTACGTAGTCTACAACTTCTCTGTCGGTCCCCCGAGACCTCAGGCTTTAGAGTACTGAAACAAACACATGTAAATATATTTATAAGGCAGCAAAGTTCAAGAGCACAGAGGGGTGACTTCCACTCGAGCACAGCTCCCAAGAGACAGACAGGAAATCCAAGCTGACCAACAGGGCTTGCCTGCTATCACTAACACAGAGGTGACAACTTCAGAAAGAAGCTACAAAATGCCATGGCTCCATCCATCACAGCATTCACTTAGAATACCTGCCTGGGCTACAGCAAAGTACAAGTTGTCCCTGGAAAGGTCAGAAGGCTAGGAGGGCCTCGTGAATCTAAGTAGCAGTTGGGGTGGGAGGTCAGGAAGGCTTCAGGGTCTTTCTAAGGCAATCTGCCAATAAATGGTACAGCCAGGCTTACAACACACAACCAAATACCCACAATACCATGACACCCCCTACCACATCATAGGATTCTAAAGTAAGGGAGTCAAAGCTCAGTGCTCAATTTTACTTAAGTCAAGCCAATCTTGAGTGGCTCGCACTTCAGTGACAGACTGGAAAACTATTTGCTGACACAACTGAATACAATGAGCAGGAAGAGAGAAGAGACATCATTTCCAACATACTTACCCAGCAAAATGTTAGTGGAAGAACAAACCACAAGGTCAAGCTGGCATTTGTACTCTGCCCGATTCTCCAAACTGTGCTCCTCTGGAAATGGGAGCCATTTCTGTGCATGTAAATGAACTAGGTTTCCCCACCTGCATTAAGTGAGTGGCAAACCCTAGTAAATTCCACTGTGACTCTTAGGGATTCGCTGCAGCTTCCCACAGCTCAATTTGACTTTGGTACTGAGTATGCAACTCTGAACTCATCATCAGTAATCCACAGGAAAGAGCTTCACAAAAATCTATCTTAACAAACCTTAAAGCAGGTCAGGCTTGGAAGGTGTATTTTCAGCCCCCAACTCTGCCCCCCCCGCCAGCAACACACACATGCCCTCACCATCAGCTGTCCTGGTTCCCAAGCCTCCCACTTCAGAGTCAGATGGTGAAGTGTCACAGGCAGTGTCAATGCAAGAACTTGAGGAGTATTTTACAAGCCCTAAGGCACAACCCAGAACACCCCCCTCCAAAAAAAAAAAAAATCACTGGTGGAGAGGCGACCATAGCAGCAGCCAGAGGGGAGACCTGAGCCAGGGAACACTTGGCAAGATGCGAAATCAAAGGACCACAACGTGATGCTGATGAAACGCTTTCTGAGTCAATTGTAGAGCCTCCATGTTCAGGCTCTACACATGCTGATGTGGAAGTTCCTGAAGGAAGCAGGGTAGGATTTATCACTGCCCCTATGTATCAGGTGACATAAGGTGTCTGATCCCCCATTCTTGAGGAAAAAAAAAAAACAGAGCAAGAGAAACCATAAATGTCACAAGTATAGAAAAATGATGGGAAAAAATTCCAACAGGTGAGAGTTTTCTTTGTGTAAATTCTAAGTGATTCCATTTTTCAGGGATTCTACAACATTTTCCAGTGTTTAGGGAATGTGGCCGACTGTGCCACACTGACTCCTACTCGGCAACACTCACATCACCTCTGCCGGCCATGAGCGTAAGGTATCCCGTGGGCAGTGGCCATACAAGCCAGTGTTTACTCCAACCACAGCTCCTTTTCCTACCTTGGCTGCACATAACTGAAGCAAACAGATGAAGCAAACAGATGGAGCCTCCTATCAGCCTGGGTCCCCAAGATGAGAAGCCAAGCACACCCCTGACAGACATGTAGCACATGGAAGAAATAAGGTTGGTCGTCTCATGCCACTGAGGTATTTGTTATTGCAGCATAACCTGACCTATACTGAGAGTGAATTTTATATTTTATATTTATGATCCAAAAAAGGAACATAATAAAATCAGTTTTTAATTAAAAAAAAAAAAAAAAAAAAGACTTCCTCCCAACTTAAAACTTACCTATATCTTCAGGTCAATTTGGGATCGAGTGAATGAAAGAATACCCAAATTAAAATTCCACAAAATGAAAGACTGTAGCCGTTCCCTGCACACCCCCAAGGCGTGCTGATAATAAGCATGGACTGAGTGGCAGCAATACACAGGTGCCATGCAGAGTCCTTTAAAGGCCTTCTCACACAGAGGGTCCCCATAGCACAGCTGAACAGATGAGGGCCCCTGTAGAGGGACTGGGATGCAAGACCATGAAGTCTGACTCCCGATTCCACACTCTTCCCCTTTGCCCCACCTGCCCCACAGCCCGAGGGCTGGTACCTGAGCCTGCCCTGGTCGGCGAGCAGCATGTGCAGGTAGCGCTCCAGCGAGTGCTCGTTGAGGGCGCAGCGCAGCCAGGCGCGGCCCCGGCCCACATCAGAGGTGATGTGGCGCAGGGAGTGGAAGCGCTGCAGCTCGTGCCTGTTGAGGACCTCCTTCACGTAGTGCCAGAACACGGGCTCTGCAGAGAGGCGACAACACGTCACTCAGCCTGAGATGCTCACAGCATTCAGAGCAGCAGTCCCCAGCAACTTTTTTAGATTGTGAAAGTCACTTCCTCAGCACAGAGGGGGTGGAGAATAGAGTATATCCAAAATAAAAATGATCCCAGACACACCACCCAGAGGTGACCGTTCAGTGACATCCTCAGGAATCTCCTTCCAGGCCTCCCCTCACACACACTTCACTCGTTGCACAAAATCAACACCTGTGGCAAGGAGAATTACGACCCCAAAGATATCCACATGCTAACCTCTGAAACCATGACTGTCACCTTACGCAGCACATGGTCTTTGCATTTGCAGTTAATGAAGGACTTGGAAAGGGGGATCTTCCTGGATAACCCTGTGGGCCCAATAGCAGCAAGTATCTTCATGAGGAGGCAGAGAGATTTGACCCAGGAAGTGGTGATGGACAGGGAAGCAGAGACTGGAACGATGCATCCACAGACACAGGAGGCTGGCAGCCACCAGAAGCTGGAAGAAGCAAGGCCAGCTCTGCCCTGGAGCCTCCAGCAGGAGCTGGCCCTGCATCACCTTGACCTTAACCCAGTGAAACTGATCTTGACCTTCAGGCCTCCCAACTCCAAGGGAATAGATCTGTGTTGTTTTTTAAAGTCACCAGTGTTAAGCCAAAACAATGGCATGTTCCTGGAGTCCCAGCTACTCAGAGGCTGAGGCAGGAGGATCGCTCAAACCTAGGGGTTCAAAGCCAACCTGGGCAACACGATGAGACCTGTCTCATTTAAAAGAGAAAAAAAAAACTACCAACTTTGCAGTAATTTGAAATCATCAAAAATGATACATCATATTGTATGATTATACATGCACATATGCATAATTTTCTGTCCTAGCTGGGCAAAATGGTGCACACCTGTAATCCCAGTGACCCTGGAGAATGAGACAGGAGGATTTAAAGTTGAAAGCCAGGCTCAGCAATATAGCAAAGGGCCTAAGCAACTTAGCAAGATGCCGTCTCAAAATAAAACATAAGAAGGGCTCAATGGCTAAGCCACCTTGGGTTCCACTCCCAGTACCAATAATAATCCTGTATCCTAGTTCATTTTTCTAGATCATAAACATTTTCCTGCCACCATTAAGTCTTTGAAACTTGACTTTGATGGCTTCCCAGTGAAACGCAATGTAACTATTTCTCTATTATTAAGAATATGATATGGTGCCAACTTCCCTCTCCTCAGCAAAAAGCATCCTTGCACATAAATAATTGTCCCCATTTTTAGTTCCTTAAGAGAGACTTCTATATTCTCAATTACTAGGACTGAGGATAGGAACAGATTTAAGGCTTTAAAGGAAAGGTAACGTTTGCCTTTACCCCTGGAGTAGTCATCCTTACGACTGCTGCCATTCCTCTGCCTTTCTCATCCTCATGTACAGGCTTTTCCTAGTTGTACTCCTCATGTACACCTCATCTGTGATCTCCTCATGTACACCTCATCTGTGATCTCCTCATGTACACCTCATCTGTG